GAAAGTTGTATTCCACTTGTTTTTGGCTGATGTGCGTCAACCATTCATGTATTTAATTTTATCCTTTTTGTTAATTAAGAATCGATACTTGGCATCAAGAATCGATGCAGTAGATCACAACAATTAGAATCGCGATGCATCGTCATGACGATTATTTTGCACACCCCTAATAAAACCCGGTGTGAATTATCCAATATGTTTTATGGCATTTCTGGAATTTTGAGAAAACAGAAACAGGAAGAAAATTGTGGATTTTCTAAACCATTCCATCTCTAATATTAAATGTCTCAAAGAGAAAAATCACACGATTGAATGTTGTTAGATGTTGATTTAAAATCATAAGAGTAGCGTTTACTTCCTGTTCGCACTTCAAGATGTTGCCAGCTAAAAAAAAAAAGGGGGTGTGAGAAAAACATGTTAAGTTACATTAAGCTAAAGACAGAAGTCTGACTGATAAAAACAGTGCTAAAGCAAATAGAGGTTCATATAAAACTCTGACTGGACTACAAGTACTGCAGTTCTTGTGGAACCAAGCTTTTTTAAATTGCGGTTAGCAGTAAGATCACCTGGCTTTCAGCAGCACCTGCTCCATAACCACACGCTTCTGCTCATCTTTCACATCTTCATTTATGTCTGTTCCCCCAAAAACCACCCCGAAGGGTAAATGGATGTCTGGTTCAAAGGAAAAAAAATACAAAGACATTTTATAAGAAGTGTAACTCCCATTGAGTTTTTTAGATCAGCATCAAAGTAAGATTGGATCATTGATGCAAAAGTCTTTACCCAGGAGAAGTCTGCCCGCTTTGAAAAGATGAATGGCCAGCGCCCCCTCGAATGGAGGGTTCTGGGACAGTAGATGCGCCACGTCAGACGGAGACTGAAAATCTGCGACGTCTCGTAGTTCACAGATGTGTCCTGCTGATTCAATGTGAGATCTTTCACACACAAACACACACACACACAAAAAAACATGCGGGTAAGGAGAACTTTCAGTCATAGTTTGGTGTTATAATATCCTTTTTTGTTAAATTGTTCACTTCATATACCATTTAACAGTTAACTAATTTAAAGAGGGTCAAATTTCAGTCGAATAATATGTGGGAGTCACTATTTAGCCTGAGTTTAAGACATGATCATAGAAGTACATCATTCACAATAAAGCAACAATTTCATTCTTATTAATCATATCTAAAAAGACTCAAAATATAAAAACAGAAATACATGTAAAAAAAAAAAAAAAAGGGGGGGTTTTGGCATATTTTAGCAAGACTTTTTAAAATTTGCATATTGTATGAATTCCCTTTCTTTCCATTACCTGCAACAGCTTGTTTGGATGTACAGTAGTAGGTGTAAGTGCAACACTACCGAATTTCTTTGATTTTTTGTTGTCGTTTTATTTTCACACAAAATGTAAGATAATAAAATAAAGACGAATTTTGGATTTGCAGAGAACTTTTAGCAAGAGCTGTTGCCAGCCATTACCAATACCTATTTTTATTTATTTTAGGCCTTCTGTAGAAATGTATTTTGTGGTTTAAAATAGTTTAAAAGCCACAGGAAAAGTTGTCAATTCTTTAGCTATAACACAAACAAGCAGGCTACAGAAACAACATTAAATCTCATTTAATAATATGCCCATTATCTTTTATTATTAATATTTTCATGGATTTGTCTGACAGTTTTGTTTAGGAGTATGGTTACCAATAAACATTGTAAGTTTTTATCTTATTGGCATTTCAAATGTTGATGTTTCTTCAGTCTTCTTTCTTTTATTTTAAAGAGACTGAACAAACTAGTGAGAAAGGCTGTTTCTGTCCCAGGCTGTGCTCTGGACTGGAGTGGAGGAAGTGGCTGAGAGGAGGCTGCTGTCCAAGCTTACATCCATCATGGAAAACCAAACTGTAGAGGAGCTGAGCAGCTCCTTTAGTGAGAGACTTTTAAACCCTGTTTGTAAAAAGGAGCGCTACCACAGGTCATTCATCCCTGCTGCAGCCAGACTACATTGCGACACTACAACGGCAAAAAATTGTGCAATCTATAATGTGCAATTTACTATTTGATACCTATGATACATTCTTCTTCTCTATTTGAGTTGATGTAACGAGTACATACATTTCTCCACTGTGAGATCAATAAAGTCAATCAATCAATAGTTTACATTCTTATGCTCTTATTGAACTAAAAAAATAAAAATAAAATCTTTATATTACAGTTGTGTAATCCTGCTAAAAATAATTTTTTTTTTTTTTTTTTTTAAACCAAAAAATGAAATTTTATTATGATTGACCTCAGCACATAATATAAGCTTTAATATGTTTCCCTCCTAAGGTCTATTTAGTTTTAACCTCCAGAGAGCATCGTCATAGCATTTTATGTTTACTGTTGCATAGAAATATGTTTAAATCTGCACTTCAGCTGCAACACACCCCCCCCCAACCCATTCTAAGTGCCGTGTATTATTGACACCAAAACGGCTAGAGTTAAGAAGTCATTATCTTACTATTGTTATAAATGCCTCTGTGATTCAAAAACTATGTTTTGTACAAATGTGATTATACTTGAGAATCAGCACAGTCCTTTTTCATATCAAGGCCCAAAACCACTGCAATTTAATAAACAATATAACAGCAGACTGTCTAGTATATCTTCTTTTCTACACTTTAACAAAAACACTATTGAATAAAAAGCAATTAAATGTGAAATTTATTAAAATATTTAAAGTACATATAACGTTTCAAGTAATTAATGTTTGTTCATTGGTCTGCAGTTAAACTAACCAATCAAATGTTAAGGTTTATTTATCAACCAGCATGACAGAATGATGCAGGAAGGATAAATAAGGAAGAGACAAAATAAATACAAGAATAATGACAGGTTTACAGCATAGTTTAAAATTAAAATTGAATTATTTCATATTTTAATTTGTATTCAATGTATTAGTTAAAAGTCTCCATTTTTAACTACCACATACAGTATAAGTTTATAGTTTGATTACTAAAATACATATGCATGTATTGCATTATGTATTTATATATGTTTTACAATGATGTTTAGTTTTTTAATTTTTTGCTTTTACCTTTCTATGATGATTTTACCTGCAGCAATTTGAGATTTTTCCAAAATGTAAAGTGCATTACAAATAAAATTTATTGTTATTTTTATCAAACAATTTACTTATTGTCTAATGATTAATCAGTTGATATAATTTGTAATGCAAATAATATACTGCTCAATTGCCACACCTAAAAAAAAACATTGCAAACGACCTAATCACACATGGCAATAGGTCTTTATTAGGTTATGTAAGTGTCACTATTTTGCATTCAGGGCTTCCAATACCTTATGAGGTTTTAGTACAATAATTAAGGGAATTCAGTCAGATGACATTTCAAAGCACGCAGTTCTACAGAACAAATCCAAACACAGTTTCGCTCAAATAAAGGATGTGAGTACTTTCGCTGTCACAGGTTTGAAAGTAACAGCGGCCATAAAGCCACTTTGACGGATGGCATTATTAGTTTACGGATGGTTAATCACAACTGCTTTGCATTTAAGGAGGGAATAACCACAAGACGAGCTCCTTCACATAACCGACGGCAGATTTAAATGAGGTAGCATCAGATCGATAATCCCCAGCAAATCAAACTCGTTAATGATTACCTTATTCTCTCAGCTGTCGTGAAGTTCCCTGTTTTGGGGCTTAGGCAGGCTAAAAATAGTAATTTCATATCTCCTCTGTAGCTGGTAAATGACACAGCAGGCAACACCTCTGAGTTTCAGCTCTCCGGGTACTATTACATTTCCTGGATGCATTCCCGTAAAGTGCACGTAGGGTAAAAGCTAATAGAACATGTTTCTCATCCAGGTTGCAGCGAAACACGCTTCAAATGTTTACAAGTCCGTCTCTGATATCGTCCCCCGGAAACAAATGCCGGTAAGAAGAGCAGAACTCTACCATTATGCAGGCATTATTTTTTTTTTTTGTCATGGCCAATATTCATGACTCGACCAGATATACAGGCCAATATTCATAACTCGAACAACTTCAAGAAAAAAAAAAGTTAAAACCGCAGCAAAGCACTTCCTCTTAGCGGCAGTACGCCGCATGCGCTAAATCTCCAGACTTCCAACTCATAGGGATGTGCCTGTCGAACCCTTTTTGAATGGACCATCCCTTCGGGCTTCATTTAATGATCGGTTTCCATGGAACCTGAGTGTTGCTGCTTGTAATGAGCGCTGTGTCACGGGACAGGACTGTGACACTGTTGTTGTTAGGCTACACTTCTCATTTGCTAAAGTATTTGCTTCTAACAGGAGAAACTAAACGCTTGAGCGGATAACTTTAACTGGAGTGACGAAGAAAAGAGTTTAATTAATTCAAGGTAATGTAAAACAACACGCTTACGTATTTACAGTACAGCATTAACAGTTGCTTTATTTTGGAAGATACCTCATGTTGCTAAATGTTATTATTATGCTTAAATGTTTGCCTCATTGCTGGGGAGATATCTGGGATAAATTAGTCTAACAAAAGTACTTAAAAGCAAGTAAGTTATTCGTGTTTATGCATGTGACAAAGACAGGGTAAAATATCTTTAGAAAACGTTTGCTAAAAGTTTTATGGTAATGTCCAAAAAAGAAACAATAAACTTAATGTAAGTTAGGTCCTAACTTAATTAACCTAACTTAATTTAAGTTAGGTCGTCGTGAATATGTTAATTTGTTGTTTTGGATCAAATATTTTTGCAAGTGGACACAAACTGAGCCACCAGGTCCCCAGAATCTTTAATTTTAAAATGTCATTGCTTTGGTTGGTTTCAACTTTTTTATGATATTTTAATATGTGAAATGTATTTAAAATTTTGAGTAATTTTATAAATATATCACTTATAGAATGTAAACATGTCTACCTGGGTAACATAGAATAGAATAGAATAGAATAGAATAGAATAGAATAGAATAGAATAGAATAGAATAGAATAGAATAGAATAGAATAGCTTCTTCAGCCGAGGATCAGAACGCTTAGGGCCCCAGCCCTCGACTGCCACCTATCACACATTGCTCCGACCCCTTTGGCCCCTCCTACAGGTTGTGAGCCCATTGGAAGGGGGACCCCTGTTTCCCCTTTGGGCTTTGGCCACAAGGCGCTGGCCAGCGTGCCCCACCTCCAGGCCTGGCTCCAGAGTAAGGCCCAAATGACCCTGATCCGGGCGAGTTAACATTAGGTCCATTTTTTTTCATTAGAGGTATTTAGGCTGCTCTTTGTCTGGTCCGTCACCTAGGACCTGTTTGCCTTGGGTGACCCTACTAGGGGGCATAAAGCGCCCAGACCGCATAGCTCCTAAGGTCATTGGGACAATCAAACCCCTCCACCATGATAAGGTGGCAGCCCAGGGAGAGCCTCTGCTCCTCCACATCGAAAGGAGCCAGTTGAGGTGGTTCGGGCATCTGGTTAGGATGCCTCCTGGACGTCTCCCTGGTGAGGTGTTCCAGGCACGTCCCATTGGGAGGAGACCCAGAGGGAGACCCAGGACACGCTGGGGGGACTATGTTTCTCGGCTGGCTGGGTGCGCCTTGGGATTCCCCCAGAGGAGCTGGCCCAAGTGGCTGGGGAGAGGGACGTCTGGGCCTCTCTACTAAAGCTGATACCCCCCCGACCCGAACCCGGATAAATGAAAGAAGATGGATGGATGGATGAGAATAGAATAGATTGGAAAATCCCTTTATTGTCTAACAATAGGGAAATTGTGGTGTTACAGCAGCAAAGGATTATAGCGAATGTGGACCTTAGAAAGTGTATATCCAATTCAATCCAATCCAACTTTTTTTTAAAGCACTTTAAAATTTCTCAAAGTACCAAAAGTGCTGTATAGTGAAACAACATAACACCATTACAAAGACTCAAAGAACCATACAAGCATGAAAAACTAAATCAGAACTATAAAATCTATAATAAAATAAAAACAAAAGTAATTAAATCTAATGTATCACAGACTAAAATCAACATCTTACACAGTTTAGAAAGCCAAGGCAAAGATGAGTTTTAAGAGTGATTTAAAATCAGACAAAGAAGTAGTCAATTTAATTTGCAATGGAAGGTCGTTCCACATTTTTGGAACTGCCACAGAGAAAGCACGGTCGCCCCTAAGCTACCGTTTAGTTTTTGGCACCTCAAGAAGCAGCTGATCGGCTGACCGGTGCATGAAGGTGCAGCAACTCAGAAAGATAAGATGGAGCAAGGCCATGGAGAGACTCCAAAAAAATAAAAAAAACAATCCTCTGGACTTTGTTTCCAATTTTGAAGACGTTTCGCTCCCCATCCAGGAAGCTTTCTCAATTCAAATGTCAGGATTCTCGTTGAGTTTGAGGCTTTATAGAGTGGACCAAAAAACAAAGCCTTGTTTTTGCTTAGAAACATGCAAATTGAATCGGACGAGCAGGTCAGAATGGGGGTCGTCATTCT